GAAATGGGATCATGTGGTCCCTTCTGAGGTCAAGAGAATTTGACAAAAGTGCTCTGAAAAAAAATACAAATGTATACCAAATGGAAAAAGGAAAAGAGACAAATGAAAACATTCTTATGGAAGGAAAACATCATGGCATGAGAAAGGTCAGGGTAATGAACGAGCGAAGATCCAAAACACACTTGGTGCAGCAAGGGAAAAAAAAGTAGCTGAAGCCAAAGAGGAGGGTAACTCTCTTCCTTAGAGATGAAGCCGCCTCAAAGTGTAAGAAGACAGTCTGGCTGTGGTAATGGACTGGGAAGAAGCTAGACCAGCGGCGACTGGGGTAGATGATGAACGATTTCACAAAGCATAAAGCAAAAATGTAAATGGCTTCAGGTGCTCTGTCTTGAGGAAAGTAGGCAGATAAAAATGCTAGAAAAATAGCCAAAAGAGCTAGAGCACATGGGCATTTCCTAACAGACTCAGAGCAATCACTACAAAGATCTGAGACGTTAGAAAATATACGTGCAACCCGGAAGTCAGGGAAGCTACTGCTGTCACAGCATGGTGCTCTGTAGTATGGGTCAGAGAAAACTGTGATCCTGGAGAATTTCCTTTGAGAATGTGGCCAGGAGCGAGGGGGCTAGACCCCCCATCTGTGCACAAGCCACACAGAACAGAAGGACAGCCACTCTACCTGGTTCCCCTGAAGAGGAGTGTGAGACTGGGGTCCCCAAGGACCTCTATCACCATTTCTAACAGTGTGGAAAGAGCCTAATGGTTGAAAACCAAGACAGAAGTCACCCTCAGTAGAAAGACAAAAAAAAAAAAAAAAAAAAAAAGGCAGCATGAAGCTATGTGATTTAGGGCTACTTCTATGAATATCCTTTCTATTCAGTTTCACCAATTCTGGGATACTAATCATTTTCTTGGTCACATTGCTCTTGGGGGTGCTTTGGGGAACTTGAAATGCCTGCACAGGGTCTTGCCAACACATTTTAATTTAAGGTGTTTAGGAGAGACGGAGGCAGTCACTTTGAGGGAAGAAATGTACACCAGCACCTGCACTTCCACACTTGCAAAAAGATGTTTACGTTGTATGGACAGAAGAATTTTATGCCTTAAAACCTGGCATTGAAAACAGAAGAGCTCTGCTGGGTGCAGCGGCTCATGATTATAATTCCAGCACTTGGGGAGGTTGAAGAGGGCGGATCACACCAGTTCAGGAGTTCCAGACTACCCTGGGCAACATGGTGTAATCTCATCTCTACTAAAATAAAAAACATTAGCTGGGCATGGTGGCAGGGGCCTGTAATCCCAGCTACTTGGGAAGCTCAGAATCACTTGAGCTTGGGAGTCGGAGGTTACAGTGATCTGAGATTGCCACTGCACTCCAGCCTGGGCTAAAGAGTGGGACTGCCTCAAAAAAAAGTAAATAGAAGAGCTGATATTGATGAAGGCTGTGTGGTTATATAAGAACTAGATTCATGAGCCAAATGTTTTTTTGTTTTTTTTTTGAGACGGAGTTTCACTGTTGTTACCCAGACACGATCTCGTGCAATAGCACGATCTCGGCTCACCGCAACCTCCACCTCCTGGGTTCAAGCAATTCTCCTGCCTCAGCCTCCCGAGTAGCTGGGACTACAGGCACACACCAACATGCCCAGCTAATTTTTGTATTTTTAGTAGAGACAGGGTTTCACCTTGTTGACCAGGATGGTCTTGATCTCTTGACCTCATGATCCACTCGCCTCAGCCTCCCAAAGTGCTGGGATTATAGGCGTGAGCCACTGCGCCCAGCCAAGCCAAATCTTAAATCACAAAGAATGCTCAAGTGTAAAACCATGTCAGTTATTCAAGCATGGGATTGGATTTTACATTGAGTTTGAAGGTAGAGAGAGGCACCGCTAGGGCGAAGACATTTGAAGGTTTGTTTGCTGTAATTCACTTGTAATTTAGGAAGGCCCTATCTAGAAGCAGGATATCCTTTCTCCCTGAACCAGGATGTTGCTCAGAGTCTAAGAAAGGAAAGAGCCAAAGCCCCAGGACATGCCACGTTATCCTGAAAGGTATCCTTTGCAGAATCAGACAGGACAGAGCACTGACATGGGTCGCACTGGCTTTCCTCTCCAGGCAGTTGCTCTCTGGAGGAGCTCTTACCTCCAATTCCTGCAAGGGAAATGGGATGCACTCACTAAAGCTGATGGGCATACATGATACAGGCTCACCAGCACTTTCGCCTTTCTCTCTGCAGATTCCCGGTGGCAGCATAGGAGGTCTTTACGCAGTTCTAGGCATTGTGTCTTGCAAAGACAGGTATGCATATATGAAAGGGGTCTTTCTACTTGGGTTCCATTTTGTAGCTGGGGAGATTTGAGGTCCCATGAGGTTCTGTGATTTACATGGGGTCACACTGTTGCTGTGAGAAGGTAGAAGCTAGTATGTCATGGCACAAACCTACAGCAAAAAGAGTGTTTTCTCCTATACCCATCTAGGTACCATTCTCCCCTATACCCATCCAGATACCATTCACTTCTATACCCATCCAGATACCATTCACTTCTATACCCATCCAGATACCATTCTGTTCTATACCCATCTAGATACCATTCTGTCCTATACCCATCCAGACACCATTCACTCCTATACCCATCCAGATACCATTCACTCCTATACCCATCCAGATACCATTCTGTCCTATACCCATCTAGATACCATTCTGTCCTATACCCATCCAGACACCATTCTCTCCTATACCCATCTAGATACCATTCTGTCCTATCGCTATCTAAATACCATTCTCTCCTACATCTATCCAGATATCATTCTTTTGGTCTTCCAAGAGATCAGAAAGGGGGTAAGGAAAAAAGGGGAATTCTTTTACCCTTGATTTTCTTATATTATTTGACACTGACAAAACTGACCAGGCTTCTGGCAAAGTAGCCACTGAAATTTACATCTAATAGAAACCAAAATCCATGTTTTTCTTAAAAAAAAAAAAAAAAAAAAGGCCGGGCATGGTGGCTCACCCCTGTAATCCCAGCTCTTTGGGAGGCTGAGACAGGTGGATCACGAGGTCAAGAGATCGAGACCATCCTGGTCAACAAGGTGAAACCCCGTCTCTACTAAAAATACAAAAATTAGCTGGGCATGGTGTTGCGGGCCTATAGTCCCAGCTACTCGGGAGGCTGAGGCAAAAGAATTGCCTGAACCCAGAAGGCAGAGGTTGCGGTGAGCCGAGATTGTGCCATTGCACTCCGGTCTGGGTAATAACAGCGAAACTCCATCTCAAAAAAAAAAAAAAAGGCAACAATTCAGACTTTTGCTAACTTATGAAATGCCTTCATCTCAGCACAATACTTAAGGAACCACTTGACTGGTACCTAACTTTATCAATTTTAAGGAAAGAATGAAAATAGAAAGGAAATAATATTTAAATATGAAAATCACTCTTAAGTACCCAATGCTCCTCAATGATACGTGAATGGTAGAAAAAACAGATCACAGGTAAAAAGAGGATGAGCCCAGGGAGAGGCAGATGAGGAGAGTGTGTGCAGCATATGAGTGAGTCCCATTCACTAGGCAAACCACTCTGGGACTCAGACACCAGGCATGGTATTTTCCAGAGAATGCCGGCATGTTTATCGCCCAGCAGGCCCTGCCCTGCAGCCTGAGAGCACCTACCAGCCCTTTCAACTTGGCAGCCCCCCAACAGCCAGAACAATGGGTGCTTTTCTCTTGCTATAATAATGCTGTCTAGTTCATCAGAGATCCATTTTGTATTTTTCATTGAGTCCAAAGCACGCTGTTTCCTTCAGAAGAAATCCTATCATGTTTTACACACTTAAAAAAAACAATCAGTCTGGTAATTTAGTAAAGATAGGGAAATTTTGATGGGAAAGCAAGAGGTTTCTCCTAAAATCTCATTATTTTATCTGAAATAAAATGTATTTTTAAAAATTCTACACATACCATATGGCACATGCCTGAGTCCAAATATTTCTCAGCTTAACAATGTCTTAGGGAGACAACTCTGGTGCCACAGGAAAGCCTCATGCTTTAACACTCATTCATTCACTCATTCACTCACTCATTTATTCATCTATTATATACTTGAGCGTTTACTATCTGTCCTAGGCACTGAGGAGCATTTAATGAAATAGAAAATATTTCTGGTTTCATGGAAAAAGTACAGAGAAGACCAAGAACAAACCCATGAAAATAGGCAAACATCCTAATTCCACGTGGCAAGAAACTCTTTGAAGGAAAAACAGGGTGGTGTGCTGGCCAGTGAGGGGGCATATCAGAGCTGCTGATATCTGAGAGCTGAGATCTGGCTGAAGAGAACGAGCCTGTGGAGACCTGGAGTAGGCAGGAGGGTGGCCCAGGCAAAGATCCTAGGGTAAGAGCAAGCTTGACAAATTTAGGGGAAAGAAAGAACACCAGTGTAGACTGAGAACAACAATAGCTATTGTGGTAAAGATGTAATAAGGTGATGTGTGCAAAAGAACTTGATGGACCACAAAGTGGTACCATGGAAAGTATTATTTAGCACTGCTAGAACATGTGAATGATCACATAAAGAGCATCATTCTGGGCCAGGCATGGTGGCTCATGCCTATAATCCCAGCACTTTGGGAGGCCAAGGTGGGGAGGATAGCTTGAGCCATGGAATAGGAGACCAGCCTGGGCAACATGGCAAGACCCTGTCTCCACAAAACTTTTTTAAAAATTAGCCCAGCATGGTGGTATGCACCTGTAGTCCCAGCTACTCAGGAGGCTGAGGTGGGAGGTACTTGGAGGTCCAGGCTTCAGTGAGTCGTGATGGTGCCACTGCACTCCAGCCTGGGCCACAGAGTGAGACCCTTTCTCAAAAAAATAAAATTATTCTGCATTTAGAAAGGACTATATGTATATTCCAGTTTTCATCTTCTACTTCCTAATAAAGTGTCTGGTTATTCCAAAGCCCTTTCAAATATGACATGTTTCTTTTGCATGAAATAAGGAACTGTACATACCTGGAATCCTATTGAGTGTCACCCAGAAATGCTCATCAGGACTGAAAGTGTCCTTGGACCACTGGAGCACATCAACAACCCGTGGGTCATGCAGAACAAAGTCGGCAAACTCTCTGGATAGAGCCACATGGGCAGAGCCAAAGTAAATCATGAGGTTATGGGGGGAGGCGGTTTCAGTGCTGTTGTTCTTATCACATAGGAAAGCTCTTTGCCCAGGTGCTCTTGGTGCACATATTTAGTCCGTCCAATTGCATGAGCCGGGGGCAGCACTACTGGAGTGATATTTTTCCCTTTAAATCCCTTCAGACACTGAACTATTTCCTTGTTGGTTTTCAGGGGGAAGTCTTGCCCACAGGTGTTGATAACGTACTTCCAGGAGACCTCCAAGGCAGAAAGATCTTTGATGCAGTTCAGGTCAGCCTGGAGCCTGGAGATCCCACCATAGACAACTGGTTCCATCTTGGAAGCCAGAAAAGCATTTGGGAAGCAGCTCAATAGTTGCTCTACTGCTTCTTTAAATTCAGTTGTTGCTTTTTCATCCACATGGACACAGTAGATATTTTGGGGCATGTAAATAGCCCTGAAGAGCCTTGCAAAGGTGTTGAAGTGATGATGGATGACCATTATATATGCCAAGGGAAATTCAGCTTCTTCCTTAGATAAAGGGTTGCGATGTAGTGGCTCTGGATCAAGTATTCCTTGCAAGAACACTTCTCATGGATCATTAGTTTGTTTTTCCACAGGAAAGGTGTTTTCCCATTGATAAAAGATGTGCAAGCTCGAGTCAGCATCAAAGAGTCTGAGATATTTAGCCTCTGGAAGCTTTGATCGCCCCCAAAATTGAAGACGATGAAAATAATTACACTAGAGACAGAAATTACAAAGAGGTAACGCATTGATAAAGGCATGCCTCTAAGAAGGGTGAAATGTCAGAGACCGTCAAAATCTCTAAGTCTTTTTTCCAAACTCACTCGTTTCTCTGACTTCTTATTTTGGAACATACTCCAGACATTCCTGCCCCGATGGAGACGCTGGGAATCGATTCCGTTTCATCCTGAGAGTCCAGCAGCTGTCTCTGTGTCCCCGTGCGGATTTACAGCCGGATCCGCCTCTCTCAAACCTCCTTTGTTTGAATTTCCGTGGCAGGTTGCTGAAGCCGGGCCTTCTCTCCTCCCTCTGCTTCCCCGTCTGCACCTGCTAGTTGTTTTGCTAAAACTCCGGTAACTCTCTTTCCCCGGGCAGATTTACGTTCCCAGATCTCTTTTCTTTCATTTCCCATGCCCCCGCCCCCCCCTCCCCCCCCCCCCCGCAGTTATTGCCATTCAGGGAATGAGCGCAGTGAAAGCCAGAGTTGAAGCGATGAGCTCTGGCAGGCGTGCTGTTTCCTGCTAGTCCCCTAGCTGGAGGCTGAACGTGCCCTCTCTTGTTGCTGGTGGCAAAGATCCACAGCCTGGGCCCTCGGCTCTTCCAGCGCAACCCACGGGACAGAACATAGCTTCTGTTTTCCAATGCACTGTTTCATGAAACCTGACACAAGTGACATTTCAAATGAAAGAAAGCCTCATCCATCCCAGCTCCATTGTAATGCTTTTTGGCCCCACCCCACTGTTTTGCAAAAACAAGAGCTTACTGGAGGAGGAGTTCCAGTCCCAGGGAGTCTGAAATTGCCGGGGCACCTTGGGCCCTGACTTTGAAACAAACCCCTCCTCTCCTTTCACTTCCAACATCTGCTGTGGTGTTTGTCTTAGAATACTGGGGTCAAACGGGCAAGTCATAAGCTACATCTACTGAGTCAGATGAGACCTTAAAGCTTCATGGTAAAGAATTTGAATCTTGGTCACAGATGATGCTGAGATAGGGGATTTGGTGGGCACTCAGGCTTTAACCACTCAGAGAACAGGATTGAAGGCTCAGAAGTGTCATATGCCTGCCCAGTTAAGCCTATCGAGCGCCTAGGAAGTGAATGCTTTATTCCCTATTTGTAAATACTGTGTTCTGGCCAAGGAGTATCAAGCTATTTTACTTAGAAGGTTCTTCTCTTCAACTTTCCACCTTCCCACCAGCTAATTTTTAATGAAATACGGATTCATGCATTTTATATGGTATCCTCTTAAAATGACTTGCAAAATGCCAACTTCACCACTGACTGCCTGGCTATTTCCCTCACTATTTACCTGGCCTAAACAACTCCGTGCCTGAACCCAAGGCATTCACTACCTCACCCCATGAAGAAAGAATATCCTTTAATGCACATTTTCTTTCATTTAAAAAGTTTCTACCCTGCCCTGAATGGAACTGATAGGACAACACGCGGATTCCTTGCCTGCACAATGGCCTTCACAGTGTTACCCTCCCTGGACTCAGGGCACCCTGACCTCCGACAAAATGACACATCATTTCCTGAGCACATTGTCGCTTCCATTCTTCTAGCTTTCATTGTTTACATGTTTAGTGTTTCCAGATTGTATATAATTTTTCTCTCTCCCTTACCAAAGTCTCCTAAGTAAATTCTGTGTAACCCACCCCTGGAATTTTAGGTCAAGTAGAAAAAAATAAAATAAGAAAGCAGATCAAGCTAATTCTTAGCGTCTTCTATGGAGTAGAGCAAAAAGAATCATCTAAAATTTATGATAAAGAAAAATTCAACCTCAAGATTTTCATATTCTGAATAATACTTTTAAATATTAGGTTATTGTATATTCTATTCCTAAACAAAAGAGAGTAACTCAGTATGTTGTTTGGCAAAGACCTTCAGCTTAGAATGAATACTAAAATAGTTACAATTTGACAAAGCATTCAGTGCACATAATTAGGGCAACAGAGTCTGTTGACATTATTATTTCCAATTGGCCAATGACATAGGGAGTCAGATTTATACAAACTTAGGAGACAGACTTTAACTATTACTATATTAAGTAATATAGACACTAACCAAATTAGCAATGTTGGTAATACTTCTGTACTCAATCCGGTACTTCAAACGGCATTGTTTGTGTGTTGAAAAATGTAGTTGATTTTCTTCCCAGCTTTTTTGTTAGTCTTTGGGCCAATTTTCTCCACTCTCAGATTTTGGTATTTAAAAATACCAATAGGAGGACTTCATCTGTGGTCCTGGGGCATGGGTTACTCTCCTTGCGAGGCAGGTGGATCAAGAAGTCAAGAGATAGAGGCTATCCTGTCCAACATGGTGAAACCCCAACTCTACTAAAAATACAAAAATTAGCTGGGTGTGGTGGCACGCACCTGTAACCCCAGCTACTCGGGAGGCTGAGGCAGGAGAATCACTTGAACCCAGGAGGCAGAGTTTGCAGTGAGCTGAGATCACACCATTGCTCTCCAGCCTGGGCAACAAGAGTGAAACTCCGTCTCAACAACAAAAAAAAATCTCAACAGGAGAACTTTAAAAAACGTCACTTATTGTCTTAGAGGAAAATTGTTACCTGTCACTTTTCTAATAGGCTGTACAACCTGCTTATCCAGACACCATGCACTTTTTTGCTACCAAGACTGAACAAGTCAGTTCTCCCAGCCTGCCTTTAACTATAGCCGAGGACAAAGTTGACACCAGCCAGCCCTGCCTTGTCACTCACTTTGGAAACAATTATTCCCAAACTAGCCAATTAATCTGGCTAGACATGTCACTGCTCCCCTGGGGCCATCTTAGAGGCTTTCTCTGTATTCCATTCAGAAGTCTTTATTTCGCAGATGTTACTTGAGGTGTGTTTGGCTTTTTTCCTTTGAGGCAGTGTCTGACTCTGTCGCCCAGGCTGGAATGCAGTGGCACCATCACATCTCACTGCAGCCTTGACCTCCTGGGCTCAAGCAATCCTCCTGCCTCAGCCTCCCCAGTAGCTGGGATTACAGGCATGTGTCACCATGTCCAGCTAATTTTTGTATTTTTAGAAGAGACAGAGTTTCCCCATGTTGGCCAAGCTGGTCTTGAACTCTTGGGCTCAAGCGATCCACCCACTTTGGCCTCCCCAAAGTGTTGGGATTACAGGTGTGAGCCACCATGCCTGGCCTATTTAATGATTTTTTTTCCCACTTAGGAAGGAAAATATGTAGAACATAGCTCCAAAGTGAAGAGAGTATCCTTTCTTTGAAATGACAGAGGACTTAGAATCTCAATTAAAAAAAAAAATAATCAAAGGGGGAAAAGATCACCCTCCTCCACATGCTCAGTGTTAGGGACAAGCTGCCTTAGAAAACCCCCTCCACCCAAGCTGGCCCCTTCCCCGCGACTCTGATTGCTCTGCAGCTGCATTTCTGAACTCCTACCTAGGCACCATATCAAGGCTGCCAAATGTGCTACAATTAGGCAAAGCCTGATTACACCCATCCGGGCAGCTCCAAGGAGGACAGGGAAAAAAAATGTTGGTTAACCATACTCGTAAATTCCTGTTTGATGCATATCTGTAAAAAGTCCTGGTTTCTCTCTTTTTTTAAAACTGTCACCACAGAAGTCACAGGATGATGTATTGTAGGTCTGTTACAAGTTGACAAACTATCTCTGTGCCTATTACCAGTGGATATATGACCTCAGTCCTGAAACTTTCTTATGCCCCTCTCACCTCATATGAACCCATCATTTTGTAAACCGAGGGCTGCCTCCTCTGATGGTTGCGGAGCAGCCCAGCAGGTTAATAAAACTTGCTTGCCTGACTCTGGGTCTATTCTCCTTTCTCTCAGCCACCTTTACACTCAGCACCTCTTGGCTTCCCATCTGAAGGCCAAGGTACGCAAGACCTGGGGAAAACTGAGTTGGAGGCGGTTGACACTGAGAGTTTGCTACATGCCAGGCTAGGTCAACCAGTGAGGAAGGTGGAAAAGACCTTGCATCCTGGGCTAAAAAACTGGGACTTAACTCCAGAGGAGCACACGACGGGCTTTCGGTGGAGGAGCACCTCCATGCAAGGGTGCCAATGGGAGGAGGATTGTGTACACATTCCCGCGTGTGTCTTTCCTCTATTTAATTGCGTGTACCAATGCAAACTTCGTTACACCCTCATAATTGTTCTGAGACTTGTTTGTCTATAGCCAATTAACTGCCATCCTTTAGTTGGGAAAGGACTTGAGGGGACACAGGTTTGAGCAGCAACCCTAGATATGTAAAGATAAATGAAAGCAAAGACTGGCCCCGAGAGAGTTTGAAAGTAGCTTTGAGAGGCTCAGCTGCGTTGGCAGAAAAGGTTAGGTAATTGTGGTGAGATTGTATCCATTCTGAGGCTACCTGATGGCTTTCCTTAGAAAGGATTTTTTTGTTTTGTTTTTGAGATGGAGTCTTTCTCTCTTGCCAGGATGGAGTGCAGTGGCATGATCTTAGCTCACTGCCACCTCCATCTCCTGGGTTCAAGTGATTCTCCTGCCTCAGCCTCCCAAGTAGCTGGGACTACAGGCGCACGCCCCCATGCTCAGCTAATTTTTGTATTTTTAGTAGAGACGAGGTTTCACCCATGTTGGCCAGGATGGTCTCAATCTCTTGACCTTGTGATCCACCCGCCTCACCCTCCCAAAGAGCTGGGATTATAGGTGTAAGTCACTGCACCCGGCCTGGGAGGGTATTTTTATTTTATTTCAGTATTTTGTTACTGAAGCAAGTCAAATGACTGAGGGATTCATTCTTAATTATGAAATACAGGGATTTGTTTTTACCCCGACCTAAGAGTAATACATGGAAAAGTAGAGAATGCTGGCAGTCCAATTCATTTTGGACAGCCTATGAAGTACAGTTGTCTCTCGGAGGGATGAGTTCCAGGATGTCTGAGGATACCAATGTCCACAGGTGCACAGGTCCCTAATATCACATGATGAAATATTTGCATATAACCTATGCACAGCCTTGCTTGTACTTTAAATAATTTCTAAATAACTTCTAATACCAAATACAATGTAAATGCTATGTAAACCA